TTGCGGTGTCCATATCCGAGGCATCTGAAGCACTTGGTAGCTCTTATTTTAATCTTCACTCTGGCGTAGACCCATCCTATTTTGATTCGCCCTGCTTCTGTTAGTTTGCGGGCGTCTGTGCTCTTCATTTTCACAGTGGCTCTTTGGGTCCCCATGAAGGATTGTCTGATACTCTTGACTTTTACGTACTGGTCGTCTTCGTGTGCGCCCACCGCACTGCGGATGCATGCTTCGACTTCCGTGGCTGTTGTGACGAGGTCCAGGTCTTGTATCTCTACGTCCTCGAGTTTTATGAGCCCGCGCACTGCTGCCCGTGTGCCGAGTTTGTTCCTCAGCTCCTCTTCGAGTGCACTCCTCTTTGTGTCTTTAGACGTTAGTCTGATTATGATCTCCCCAGTTCGGCTTTCAGTTATGGTAGACACCAGCGCGCCTATTTTGTCTATCTCTACGTTCTGTTTTATTGACTTAAGTATTTCGGCTGCCGATTCGCCTTCGCTCGGCTTGACTGCAATGGCATCTGGTGGTGGAGGTTTTTGCCGCTTTTTGTTTTTTGTTTCCTTTTTTCCCTCCGGGGGCCTTCTGTTGTTTTTCCGGGGATTTCTCACCGTTTTCCACTCGCTGGCTGGAGGGTTTCCGTTTGGGGCGTGGCTGCTGCATGATGGCTCGTCCTGTGGTTGGCCCTGCTGCGGCAGTATATCCTTTTTCTGAGCAGCTTCAGCAAACGTCTGTTTCCTCTGTTTCCTCTGCGGTCCTTTTGGGGCTTTGGGGGAGGTTGGCTGGTCTGTTGATAGGACATCTTGCAAGTTCCGTTGTTGTTGCTGCTGCAATTGTTGCGCCATCTCCCCTAGTGCTTCGCCCTGCTTTTCTATCATTGATCTGATTTCGTTTATGGCGGCTCTGTTTTCCTCCAGGGCTGGCACAATCCCGGCTGTTGTGGTCTTCGTTTCGCTAGACCCTCTAATAGCTGCCTTCTCCACCTCGTAGAAGGCGCTGTGGACGCTGGTTGTGGTCGATTTTAAGCTCTCCGACGATTTAATGGCCTGATCAATGGCATCCATTACTACAGGGGATTTTGTTTTTTCTCGACATGTCGCCAGGTGATCGATGGCTGCAAGCATGGCGTTGATCTGCTTGTATTGTTGCTTGATAGTTAACTTCAGGTTTCCTATAGCCGTCTGCGTGCATGGCTGCTTTTCCTTGCTGGTGCCCGATGTAGCCAGCATAGCATTCAGCTTTGGGCTTGATTGTTGATTGTTTGATGAATGGCCCCCCCCAGAATCCGTGGGGCCTGTCTCCGCAGAGAGTGGATTCCCCGGCTTGGCCGGTTCACCACCTGGGGTACAATTTTCGTTAAGTTTTGACTCCATCATTCAAACGGCTAGTAATCCACGGGTCGCCGCTTCCGTGGATGGTCGGTGCCTTGGCGGGGGTTTACCGGGCCCCCGTTGCGTTGTGTCCGGTCCGTTGAGTCCTGATCGTGCTGCTTCTCCGGAGTTGATCGCGTTCTGGAGAGACTGTTGAGGACAGTTCTAGCCTGGTTTTTCTGTCGGGGATTTCCTTCCCTTAGGGCTTTGCTCGTCCGGGAGCAGGCTACCTCCGACCTTGCCGGCCCCAACTGGTTAAGGTCAGGGCCGGTTCAGAGCCTTTGCGGTGTGTGCAGGCTGGCTCCGAGCCTGCCGATCCCTACCAGTGAAGGTAAGAACCGGCTCTCTGTGCTCCGACTACGACTGGTTAAGGTCGCAGCCGGGTATGGGACCGCTTGGTAAGGCCATTTAAGGCCCGCAAGCTCCCCCACCGCGTCAAGGTGGATCCCGTCGGGGGAGAACCTAACCTAACCTAACCTAACCTAACCTAACCTAACCTAACCTAACCTAACCTAACCTAACCTAACCTAACCTAACCTAACCTAACCTAACCTAACCTAACCTAACCTAACCTAACCTAACCTAACCTAACCTAACCGGGGCCGAGAGTCGCCGGCGTGGTGGCTCCCGGTTAGTCGAGCCGGCCGCCCGAGCGCTTCGGGAGCGCTGGTTGGCTGCGACAAACTGTCTGCTCAAACGGACGCTTCTGGTTCGCTGCGGCGCATGGATCGCTGAGGAGAGCGCTTCTGACTGGCCAAACCGGGCCGCCCGAGCTAACGGGGGGCTATGATTGGCCGCGAGACGTGGCTGCCGGAATGGGCGCCTCTGGTTGGCCGTTGCCACCAGTAGGCGTTTCGCCGTGGTCCTGGGAGGACGGCGGGCACTGCTGCTGCTGCTGTTTAGAATGATTCTGCTAGAGAAATTCTACGACGCGGAGCGCACACTGAAAACACGACCGTTCGTGACGACCGACGCTGCGAGACTCTGACGACCGACGCTGCGAGACTCAACCTAACCTAACCTAACCTAACCTAACCTGTATCCAGGCGAAGCCACGACCGGCGCCGCGTGCCTCGACGACGAAATCGGCTGCGGCGGTCAGGGCGACGGCGCAGGTGCCGTCATCGCTGCGGACCCAGCTGTCGTCGTTGGCGGGATGCCAATTCGGTTCGGAGACGGCGAGGACGTGTGCTCCCGTCTGTGCCGACGTCTGCTGGAGTAGGCTCTGCGCGGTGGCGCTCCTTTGTAAATTGATTTGGATGACGTTAATCATGCTCGGTATCTGGTGGCGTTCATCTCTGAGATGGCAATCCGGCGGGCGGCGCAAGCCCCGGAGCCGGGCTTGTGAGGCACGCGTGGGGCCTTGATGCGGTCACAGGCGACGCACAGGTCCGCACCCTCGGTGCATGTGGCCTCGGTGTGTCCGTTCTGTCCGCATCTTCGGCAGGCGTGAGAGAGGTCGGTGCCGGTGCACTGCCGCGTGGCGTGTCCGTAGCCGTGGCAGCGGTAGCACTTTGCCGGCTCCGGTCTGCGCGGGCGGACCCGGCACTGAGTCCAGCCGACGCGGACGGATGTCAGACTCCGACCGATGGCGATGGGCACTGTTGCAGTGGCCATTTGACGGCTGTCCCGCGTGGCCCACAGGCCGGTTATCTTGACCTCATCTTCAGAGAGGGGTTGCCCGTCCGGCGCGCTCTTCAGAATCGCGGCGAGGACCTCTTCTCTGGTGGTGACCTCATCGAGGTCGGTTATTTCGATTTCGGCGGTGTGCCGGAGCCTGGTGACCACGGCTCCTGCCATGTTTTCGGCGAGCTTGTCACGGATGGCTGAGGTGGCAGCAGTGGCCTTTGCGCCCTTGGTCAGCTCGACGAGCAGGTCGCCTTTGAGCGTTCTCCTCATTGAAGTCACGTGGGTTCCGAGTCCTTCGAAGTCTATTTCGGTGCCCCTGACTTGGCGCAGGGTGTCTGCGTAGGACTTGCCTTCGGGGACCTTGACGAGCACAGCGGCTGGTCTCTGGACGATTTTCCTGATTTGCTGCGGTCTCGGGGCAGGCGGCTTCTTGGTTACCTTCTGGACCAGAGTGAAGGGGACTTCTTCATGTTCGACCGATCGGTTTCCTGAGTGTTCGGGTTGATCGGTTGGCGGGACTTCAGGGACTTCGTTCCTCTGAGCCGGAGGTTTGGCCATGGGGGTCCTTGCGTCCAGCTTGGATTTTTGGTTGTTCCTCCTTCGACGACCGTTGCCGTTGGCCGTTTGGCCGGTTTTTCCGGCGGGCTGGGAGGAAGTCGTGGGCTTCGGTGCGTTGGCGGCAGGAATGTCGATGTTGGGATCGGTGGCGGTGGAGGCATCTTTTTGGCCGGGTGGCGGCCGTTGGTCCTTGTCGAGCAGTTTCAGAGCTTTGCAAACTTGCTCGAGTGCTCTGGTGACTTTTGACAGGCAGGGGCCGATGTAATCCTCGGAGTAGAACTCGTCCGCGAGGCTCTGTACGAGATCACAGGCATATTCCGTGGCTCTGGTGGCTGCGATGAGCGCGTTGCCGGAGTCTGAGGTGGTCGGTGTTTTGGTTGTTGTCGAAGTAGCGGTGTTGGGCGTCTTCTTCTTCTTCGTCTTCTGGACCTGGGAGTCTGCGGCCGGGGAGAACCTAACCTAACCTAACCTAACCTAACCTTTTTTTTTTTTTTTTTTTCCGGGTTGAATCGAGGGCCGGAGGCGGAACCGCGTTAGCATTACTTCACCTCCGGCCCCCATCGTTTATTGATACAAAACACATATTAGGTAATACATCAATAACATACATGATAGTCCCCGACCTGGGACCACCGACAAACGTTCCTCAGCTATTGCTGGTGTGATACTAGTCTGTCGGTGGACCAGGCCCGGGGGGACGTACAGAAAATTTACATACTGAATACATAGAGAAACGGTGTTGAGGTGTGTCAGCTCGTACGGCTTTCACCTCTTGCGGGGCTCTGCTCGACTGGTGTGCGCTGCTGGGCTGGCTGTGCGGACTCCTCTCGTGACTGAAGACCGGCGGACGGGTAGGCACGCGTCCGTGGACCACTTCCCGGCGTCGGAATCGCACATCGGACTTACGTTTTTTTGGACTACTTGCATTTTTCACGTTTTTTGGACGTATCTCGGCCGGTATTTGTCTGAGGGCTTCGGGAGTGCCGAAAACCCCCCCTTACAGCCCCCTGTCAGCTGGGGTGACGACAGACCTGGTGCAGCAGACCCGACCCTCCTAGCCCAAAGGGGGGCGGAGGAATCAGATTTTGAAATTGCGTACTTCGGACTACTCGCATCTTACATGCGTGGGTGCTGCTGGGCTGGCTCTGCGGACTCCTCTCGTGACTGATGACCGACGGCCGGGTGGGCGCACGTCCGTGGACCTCGTCCGGGCGTCAGATTCGCACATTCGACTTACGTTTTTTTGGACTACTTGCATTTTTCACGTTTTTTGGACGTATCTCGGCCGGTATTTGTCTGAGGGCTTCGGGAGTGCCGAAAACCCCCCCTTACATCCCCCTGTCAGCTGGGGTGACGACGGACCTGGTGCAGCAGACCCGACCCTCCTAGCCCAAAAGGGGGCGGAGGAATCGGACTTTGAACTTGCGTACTTAGGATTACTTGCTTCTTTCATGCGTTGCGCGAGGTAGCGGTCGGGCTTGCGGCCTGCCTCCTGGCGGCGCAGGCGCCCGACCCTGGTTTATGACTGACCTTCGGTAGGCCTGCGAGGTGGCAGGCCAAGCAGCTGTCGTCGGGTTCGGTGCAACTCTTCGAATCGTGGCCGTTCAAGCCGCATCTCCAGCAGGCGCCGGTGCGGTCGACTTCGGAGGTGCACTTTCTCGCGTTGTGGCCAAACATCTGGCATCGGTAACATCGCTCTGGTGGGAGTGTCCTCGGTCTTACCCTACACTTGGAATAGCCAACCGAGATGCTGGGGATCTGGGTGGCCAGGTGTCTGGGCATCCTCGCCGAAGCTATCTGCTGCTTTGATTTGGTGGGCCAAATCCTAACGTCACATATCGAGGCGCGATCTGCTGCTAAGGTATTGTTGTCTTCACTAGTGACGGTGTCGCGGAGTGCCTCAAGGACATCGTCCGCGGTGGCGCAAGAGTCTAGGTCCAGGACCTCCACGTCTACGAGGACCCCGAGCTGCGAGATTCTGCCTATGTCGCTACCGAGTCTTTCCGAGAAGGCGGCGGCGATTTTTTTCGCGGCCGCAGCGGAATTGTCGCCTCTAGGAAGCTCCATCAGGAGGGACCCACCCTGGGTCTCCCTCATGACCAAGCTCGATCCCAAATCGGCCATGGTGAGGCCGCAAGACCTGACTGCTCTTACCGTGTCGCTGTATGATCTGCCGGCGGCCGGTTTGATCATGATAGCTGGCGGTTTCCTCGGGTATGATTTTGGCTGCTGCCGAGCCACGTGAGTGGACTGCGCCTGGGAAGGATCTGCCGTCGCCTTGTTCCGCGGCCTGGCCTTCTTCCTTGCGACTACGGACCATCTGACGTTTTCCGTTTCCGCGGCAGACTCGGCTGCCGTGTCGACGGTACCGACTTCGGAGGAATTTTCGTTTTCGGTTTCCGAGGCGGACTCGGCTGCCGTGTCGGCGATGCGTGGTGTTGCCGGCCTCCGGCTGCGCGTGGCGGCGCCCGTCTGGGTAAATCCGTCGCTCAACCACCAACTCGGCACGAGGTCCGTGTCGGTTTGAGCGTCGGAGGTGCTAATCGAGGTAGCGAAGTCTGTGGTTTGCGTTGTGGCATCCGTTGGATCGTCGTACTTGCGGGCGGCCCTGGCGAAACCCTTCAGCTTGAGTTTGTCGTTCAGGAGCTCTGCTAGGTTGTCTCTGATGTAGACGAGGTTGTCATGCCTGTCCTTGGCGAACGCGCTAAGGGGATGGCCCTCGGCTCCGTACATGCTGGTCGCGAGTTCGTATGCTGCGTCAACTTCGCAGTTCAGTCTCGATATGGCCAAATCTATTTCTTGCGCTATGAATGTGGCGTATCTATCCAGTGTGGAGACGGGTTTCTCCTTCGTCTTTTGTTTCTTTGGTTCGGGTTGCGATCCCGCGGTGGCTGCGGCGGAGGCCCCGGCCGCGGAGGTCGCGGGGGCGGGGCTGGTCCGGGCGAGGTGTTGCGCGGTGGTGTCCATACTGGCGTCGGGAGAGTGGCTGGGCATCGCGCTGCCCTATGCGCACGGGGAGAGGGAGCTACTCCGGGAGCGCGTCGCCTCGAGAGGGAGCTGCCCCGGGAGCGCTTCGCCTCGCGGGAAGGCGAGTCCTGGCTGGACCGCTGTTCTTGACTAACTGGACCGCTGTTCTTGACTAACTCAACCGCTGTTCTTGACTAACTGACCGCTGTTCTTGACTAACTTACCGCTGTTCTTGACTAACTGACCGCTGTTCTTGACTAACTGACGCTGTTCTTGACTAACTGAACCTAACCTAACCTAACCTAACCGCTAGGAACTGTACTCCAGCCGGGAGGGTTTCGCGCAGTAGTCCATCGTATAAGATGTTCCATAGGGTTGGCCCAAGGACCGAACCCTGTGGGACACCGCTTGTAATGTCAACTACTTTTTCGGGTCCACCGTAGTTGTACTGGAGTTTTCGTTCGTGAAGGTAGTCATCCAGGACTCTGCAGAGATACGGAGGTATGTCTTTTGCGTATGCTTCCCGCATTATGATTTTCCATGAGGCGGAGTTAAAGGCGTTCTTTATGTCCAGGGTGAGTACGCCTACTCTTACATCCTTGCCGCAGTTGTCTACAATTGAAACTAACTTATGAATGGCGTGAAGAGTTGATCGTCCTTTTCTAAAACCGTATTGTGTATCAGCTAGGCCGTTCGATGAGTCCAAGTGTTCTCTTATACGATTATCCAGGAGTTTTTCAAAAAGTTTGCCGAGGGAGTCTAGGCCTCGGAACTCGACAAGTGATTGTTGCTTAGGTGTCCTTATCACGGTGTCCGTTTCAACTATTTTCGAGACTTCTGCCCGCACTACATCAGCTGCAGGGGACCCACCAGAGACTTGAATCAGTATTCCTCCTGATCTTGTTTGTCGCAGGGCGGAGATTTTGTTTCCGATTGCCTCCATGTTTACACCACTTTTAATTTTCTTTAGAACCTCCGAGTAGTTTTCTGGCTTTGTTTGAACAATTACGACGTCTGATCTGTTTCTGGTACGTACTTCTTCCCGTTTTTCATTTCGGGGGCTTCTTGGACGTTTTGTATATTTCTTTTGGACCGTTTTCCAACCACTATCGTCTCGAGGGCCTTCGGTTCGGTCCACTTCTAGTTGTAGAGAAATGTTATCGTTTTCCGCCGCATCGTATTGCTCTGTTGGTTTGTCTTCGTTTTTTTGCGAGTTTCTTGTGGGTGCGCCTCTCCTACCGCCGTCGTAGGGGTTCCGTCGATGTTGCTGCTGTACTTGTTTTGTCAGCTCCCCGAGTGCTTCGCCCTGTTTTTCTATCAGCACTCGGAGTTCGTTAATTGCAGAACGCGTCTCCTCCAACGCCGGCACGGCCACGTCTGTTGCAACAGTGGTTTTTGCCACTTCACCCACTTCTCTGTTCGGAGCATCGAAATCAGCTTGTACTGATTTTTCGCGGGTCGCCAGCGGTTCAGTTTGATTACCCCTGGTGTTAACGACTGGCCTTACTCTTCCAGTGAGCTTTCCCCATGTGATAAGCCCTTTTACACCATGCGCCAGATCTACTATCATCTTCTTAATCTCTTTTTTGGTGTTTGGAGTGGAGGCCACTTCTGCATCCAATTCTTTAGACGTCGCATATATTTGTTGAAGATACTTATAGAATCGAGCGTTTGCCTCTTCCTCCGTTGCTTCGCTTCCAGTGGACGTCTGGCTGGACGCTGAGGCAATTAGTTTCTCTTGCAGAGTCCCTGCAAGTTCCTTATCTTTGCTATTGAGCTTTTGGCTCGGTTGTTGATTGATTGATGAATGCCCCCCCCCCCCCAGAATCCGTGGGGCCTGTCTCCGCAGAGAGTGGATTCCCCGGCTTGGCCGGTTCACCACCTGGGGTACAATTTTCATTCTGTTTTGTTTCCATCTTTCAATCGGCTATAATCTCTACCGGACAGTCAAATTAAATTTTTATGAGCGTTTGAAATTCAAATTTTTACAACATTGGATATTCACTTGATTTCTCATGTAACGATTTTCTTATTTTGTTGTAATTCAAAAACAAATAACTGTAGATACATGAAAATTTCACTGAATGTTCAGATAGCAATTCCTATACACTGTACAATTTTGAAAATATTTCGACTCTTTTTGAGCTGTTTACGGACATTTTCAGTTTTCAATTTTTTTAGTTTTTTTTTTCTATAAATATCAATAAAGTTTTATCTGTTGGGCCAAAAAGTGTAAAAATTTAATACAAGGTTCCTGATATATTGTTACAGTAGCAATTTAAAAATATTAAAAATACATGGGCACAATTTTTTTTTATAAGCATTTAAACATCGAATTTTACAACATTTATCAAAATCTCGAAAATTATCAATCATTGTAATTAATAAATTATAAAATGTTCAGTTTTTATAGCTAAAGATTGCAAATTTAAAACAAAGGTTCTCATAAATAGTTCATACTGTAACCAAAAAATCTAAAAAATATATGAACACAGTTATTTTTTACCGGCATTTTAAATTCAAAGTTGACGAAATTACATATTATTAAAATCAATATTAATATTAATTATTTATTTTAGATTGTTTATTAAAAATTGATTTTTTTTTTATTAACTAAATGTAATTTACTCAGGTTTTTCTATAGATTTTTTATTCAACTAGGCTTTTTTATTCAATCAAGATTATAATGGTAAGCTTGGAAAAATATTTAATTACAATATTGCGTATAACCTAAAAAAAGCTTAGTTGAATAAAAAATGTATAAAAAAAACTTTAGTAAAATACCTGCAGTTAATAAAAAAAATCTATTTTTAATATACAATCCATATTAAATAAAAAACTTAATAGACAACTGTATTTAATAAGAAAATATTCTAAGTACAATGGAAAATATCTTGATTGGATAAAAAATCTCTCTTGACAAAAAATGATTTTATTGTTTTTGGAGGGGAGGAAGGTCGTGCGAATTTTCAAACCGGGCGTGCGAATTCGTGCGAATTACGTGCTAAATGTCTGCAGAAGAAAATTTGCGAAAATGTTAATTTGGACCTCCGGGGGGGCTGGCGAAACGTTTTGCCAGCCCCCCCATGAATTTTTGTTTTTCTAGGGGAAGGAGAGTCGTGCGAATTTCAAAACTTGGCGTGCGAATACGTGCGAATCACGTGCTAAATATCTGCAAAAAAAAAAAATTGCGAAAATGTTGATTTAAACTATGGGGGGGCTGGCAAGACGTGTTGCCCCCCCCCCCATGGATTTTGATTTTTGAGGGGGAAGGAGAGTCGTGCGAATTTCAAAACTAGGCGTGCGAATACGTGCGAATTACGTGCTAAATATCTGCAAAAAAAAAATTGCGAAAATGTTGATTTAAACTATGGGGGGGCTGGCAAGACGTGTTGCTGGCCCCCCATGGATTTTGATTTTTGAGGGGGAAGGAGAGTCGTGCGAATTTCAAAACTAGGCGTGCGAATACGTGCGAATTACGTGCTAAATATCGGCGCAATTCATTTATGGATTTTCCATTGGGGGGGGGCGGGGGCTGGCCAAACGTACGTTAAATGATGTACCCGTTACGTCAAGGTCACTTTCGTTGGCTTCATCAGTAGCTTCATGTAATGCAAATGAATCTGGTTCTCCAACATTTAAATTTCCAGACATAGAACTAGGAAGTAAAGAATCCTTTACAAACATCATCATTTGAAAAAAATGGCCATTTAGATTTATATTCAATCCCGCTATCACCTGAACGTCTAATTGGTTCTTTTTGTAGTTCTTTTCTAAACGTATCCTTTGTGTTTTTCCATTTTATTTTTGCATCGCTCCCTAAAATTTGGATACAAAATAATTTAAAAACCATGTTTTTCACTTATTTTGTATGTCAAATATTGTTTTATGATGGAACTTAGTTTAGTCGAATTAAATTTATTATTATTAAAGGTTCTGAGTGGAACGATGAGTAGGTATATTATTGATCTTACATTGATAATTTATTATGAAGTATTAATATAAGTCACTAACGACATTAACTATTAATTAATATTAGCAAATCTGAACTTAAAATAATTATAAAAAAAACTGTGTTTGAATAGTTTTTAGTTTCTTTTTTTTTGCAGCAGAATTTTCTATTTACGTGGAACCTTGTTTTAAATTTTCTAGCAATAGCTATAAAATTTTAACGTTTTATACATTTTTAACAACTGAAGAATTTGTAAATTTTCAATTAAATACATTTTTTCAAAATTTGAACTTCAAATGGTTATAAAAATAAAAAACGTGCCAAATTTTATTGACATTTATAGAATAAAAAACTAAAAAAACGGAAATTTTCAAATCTCTATAAATAACTTAAAAAAATTTATCAAGTATAGGAATTAATAAAATAAGCATATGGTGGAAATTTCAAGTCTCTACAGTTTTTCGTTTTTGAATAACATTAAAATAAGAATTCCTATCGGTACACGAAAAATTTAGTAAATAATAAATATCCATGTTGTAATTAAAATGCTCATAAAAATTTAATTAAACTTTTCGGGAGACATTTTTTTATTTGATAAAAGTGAAGAATCTCGTGAAAAATCTTGAATTAAATTGAAAAGCTTCAAATATAAGGCTTCTAATATATTGTCCCAATGGTAATGAAAAAAATATTAAAAATACACATGGTCACAAATTTTTTTTAATAAGCATTGAAAGTTTAAATTTTGACAAAATACGTAAAAATCACGGAAATTTCAATTTATTTTGAGTTACAAAATCATAAAAATGTTATCTTTTTGAATCTAAGATTTGAAAATTCAATATAAAATTCTTCGAGAGTTTGTCTACTTATATCAAATAAAAAATGTTTATTGGAAAGTCAAATTAAATTTTTATGGACATTTGAATTATACTTTGGATATGAATATCCACTCAATTTGTCTTGTACCGATATTCTTAATTTGTTGTTATTCAAAAACGAATATTTGTGGAAACTTTAAATTTTCACCATATGTTTATTTTATCAATTCCTATACTTGATAAATTTTTCAAAA